AAAAATAAGGTTTGTTATTATGGTTACTAAAATTAATGATAAATTAAATAAAATCAATTATTTTTTTAATAATAGAAACTTGATGGAAAAGATGGTCTAATATCAAATGAAAAAATTAAAGAATGTGATGAAATTTTAAATTGTATTCTGCCACCAAGAGAATGGGAAGAAAATGGAAAACTGTGGAGACAAAAAGTTTCAAATCAACCAGCTACTAGAATGGATGTAATCAAGTTGACAGAAATGTTAGATATGAGTTTGCAACATTTACAAGCACGAGAAACTGGTATTTGTCCAATTAGAAGAGCTCTYTATTCTCAGTGTTTTGATGAAATAATCCGCCAGGTTGAAATTATATTGATCAATATGAAACAACCGTTGTTTAAGAAGACACTACACTACACCCACATGTGTGGTTTTCATCTAACAAATGGTATAACATAACAAAAAYTGTTCTGTGTGACCACTCAAGCTGTAGTGCAGGAATCCAAATTGATATACAATGTCAATGCAGTTAAGAATATTATTTGTAAAATGTAGTTCTAATCTTTTTGATATTACTAATACGAAAAAAGTTTTAATTGTTTCAAAATGTATTATTTTTGTTTTTCAAATACAAATAATTTTTTCTGTAGTTCCGATATCGAAAACATAAATACAATATTCACAGCTGAAATTCTCCTTTTTACATGGAAATGTTGCTATTTAGTTATGTTAGTAACCTTCTCGGTTCTTTCCCGCACAAGACAATTTTTGTTATGTTTTACATTTGTTAGACAATAAAAACACATGTGATTTAGTGTCCTCTTAACCYTCAATGTTTTTACTAATTTTTAGGTCACTATTAATTGTGCAGAACGAGGACTTTTGTTACTGAAGGTACGAGATGAACTTAAAATGACAATGGATGCTTACCGGTCATTATATGAGAGTAGTATTGCATTTGGTATAAGGAAGTCATTGTCTGCAGAACATAATAAGCTAGACATGCAAGACCGATTAACTGAATTAGAAGTTGAAAAACAAAAAATCAAGGATGATTTAGCAACAGCAATTGCAAAATATGAAATGGCTCAAAGACAAGGAACTGAACAGCGTATTGCTGAACAACAAAGACACAACGAGGAGATAAATTTTCTGAAAAGATCCAACCAACAGTTAAAAGCTCAGCTTGAAGGAATTATAGCGCCAAAGAAATAGATTMAAAAAAAAGTGGCAATCAGCAATCTAAATACGATATGTGTAGTACTAGTTTTTATGATTATTTATTTTTAATAAAGAAGTGGGATTATGTTGAAAATATTCAAAATTCCTCAATTGTGGTATTTAATTATTTTTGGCAGTGTGATATATTTTATCTTAGACTCCTAAGTTTTGTACATATTATAATAAAGATATTTATCAGATATAAAATAACAGTATGTATATTGTATAGTTAATAGGTTGATCATATATCACATAAGGTAAACGTGTTGAACAAGTTCCAAATTAATAAATATTTGAAATTACATTAGTTAATATGAAGGGAAGTAAAATAACTGTGAAAATTTCAAAAAGCCTGATGTACATCATAAAAGAACAGAAAAATAATAACAACCAACATCCACTTTTTTTTTATCTGTATAAATAAAATGACTTGTCGTGGGTAATTCATCATCACCTAGCCGGAACCGCTGAAGCTTTGAGTATGAAATTTAAACAGTAGTGTAATGATATGCTCACATATCTTAATTGTATATTGCTTAGTTATCCAATAAAATAAATAACGGTCAAGATGTCGCCCGCAAATAACCATTAAACCCCAATAAATTTATTTAATCACTGATGGAAGGAACGATATGCATTGTTTGGTCACGTAGGAACCCAGACATAGTTGTGACAATGTGTCGCCGCACGTTTGATCTATTTTGTGTGCCTGCGTGCCGCCAGAGACAAGGGATGGCCCAATGAGGACCTCTGCTACCAAGGATAATGGTAAATCTTTAGAAACGCAGAGGCCTTTGATGGAGCCGCCTGCGACCCTGGATGGCTTGACCAAGTCGTCTCCTCTCAAGAGTGCATGAGCACCACTCTTAAGTGCATGAGCACCATCCAACACTAAAACAATCTCAAGAGTGCAGGAGCACCTAAAAACTTTTCGACACCAGACATTGCGAGCGACAGCTGGACCATTTCTTTTTTAAAATCGAAATTTAACATATTATAAATTCTTTAATCTGAGTGTTTAATAAAAAACCTTTATTTATCTTATTACATCAACTGCATATCAAACACAGCTGCGAATAAGTTAAGGTGCATGCGCATCAATATTCATATATTTATATAAATTTATATATTGTATTTATTAAATTTTTTTATAATTTAATAATTAATATTTTATTATTACGGTGTACTTGATCGTTCTCGAATCACGACCTCGAGAACCCTCCAACGATCAGTAGGAAGGTATAGCGCAATTTTAATATTTATATCTGGTAGCTTATTCTCCAGCTCTTATAAGAGTAGAGAACAATACAGATCCTTTAGTGTTACTCAATAAATCAACCAAACTCCATTTTATTTCTAATATCTTCCACTAATTAATATAATTATTGGCAGGAGCCTTAGTTATATTTATTAGTTGTATTAACTGTATTATCTTAGTTGTATTTTAGTTAAATTATATTTTATTTCTTTTCTTTTATTTTTGCGTTATTACAGTAGTTTTGAATCATGGTGTAGACAGACAACCACTAARAAAAGATTTTTCAAAATTCGACCCCTATGGGGGTTAAAAGGGTTATATAATATAAAGAAAAAAAAATTGTTCGTTTGATCGGTTTAATCTCTGGAACTATTTAACTGATTTAAAAAWTTTTTTACCATCAGAAAGCTACACAATCCCATGAATCTATAGGCTATATTTTATCTTGATAAGTTGCTCTTAATTTTTTATTGCAAATTTAAGATTTTGTATAGAAATAATAATATTAACTATATATTTGTGTGTATTATATGGTTGCTATTTGTTATACAATTTAGTATGGAAGAATAAGAAATTAGCAATTTGCTATTAGATATCAATTTTAAAAACTGTTTCACCTTWATAAAGCCAACAATATTATGATTAAATATATTTATAGACCTGTACTTAAATGAATGTGTTTTGAAATTAAAATATTAAAATATTGTATGGAGATTAAGATAGTGTAAATCCACGGGAATTTGTCACAGGAAGTTTTGATCATGACTAGCTGGGTATCAACGACAAATTAAACAAAAATTTTGAATCATATTGCCGGTATTTTTAATGGTCAACGAAATGCGCGGGGAGCTAGTAAACGATAAATTAAAATTAAAAACCATTCATTTTTGTCTGCAAAAAAACAACCTAAAAGTTGATATGATTACAATTTATTCATAATTTAAATAGTTAATAACTAGAACAATTGTTTTTCTATAGGTCCTTGCAACAATTTTTTTTGACATACAAAACTGAATGGTAGTTTAAGCATTTATCCTATTTCACCTATTATTTAAAAAAAAAATGTTTGGTAATTTATTTTTACAAGATAGAGCTTATTGTTGAAATAATAATTTAAATACAATTCACATGTGTAATTTAAATTTTCAAAATTAATTAATTTTTCATTGTTTAACATATACTTATAAGGTTATGTAATATGTTTCTTATTACCTGATCGAATGTATCTTCCGTGGCCATTTCAAGAACAACACTGACAATAAATAGTTTAAGTTCTTAAAAAATAGAGACCATCTAGTACCAGGATATTCAATACTGTTATTTATTTGCGACTTATTGTTTGATCTGTCGTCGTTTACCTCAAAACACGAGTAAATAAGACTTTAAATCACTATTCACTAAAATATTAGATTATTTATTAATATTTAAGAATAATTTAAGATGATTGAAAATCGAGGAGTATATTTAAGAGTAAACAAAATTACACTATTGAAGTATAGAAGTATAGCCTATATACATAATTAATAATAACTTTCGTCTCTCCGTGATAATTACATATTATGATAAAGTCGTGTATCCGTCATCCGATAGTGGATAGTATCATGATTGGCCGCCGGAGTTTCATTTATTGACCATGGAAAGTGTTCGCACGTCATCGGCATATCATACTGCACTATCTAGTGGTCATTTATAGAAACTAAACATTTTTAATTTCCAATTCGTTGGTTTCATTACTTCATTAGTATCATGATTCATGATTTTCAAGGAATAACTTGGAGCGTTTCGATACGTATCGATTTAATTTTGAGCGTCCAAGAAGTTACTCGTGCAATATATAAGCGATACGTACTKACCTGTATCGGGCTAAGACTTCGATACGAGTCGGTACGTAACTATTCCCAGTCGATACGTATCGGATTCTTCTTCCTGAAAATGTTGCATCATTGGCAAATTTATTTTGTCATGTAAAATACCTAAATATTATCTTAATTATTCAGAATTTTTGGTTGAAAAAGAATACAGATATAACCTAAGAATGGCTTAATTTGATCGTCAAACATTATTATAGTGGTTTAATATCATTAACATTGATTAAAAAAAAAAAAAACGATTATAACACACAGTACAATCTTATGTAATAATTTAGTAATAAAATATTATACAACCAATGTTTTGGTAAACATTTGTCCCTTTGAATTTTTTCATACCAAAATTAAAGTAGGAATAAAAATTTAATATTCATATATATATATATAGGTGTATGAGTTCGTTCAATAATTGCTATGTATAATGCACTAGATATCTAACCATACTAACCTAACGTTTAAATGGCGAATAAATTAATATTAGTATTTGTTTCAGGCTTATTGATGAAATCCATATCAAGTATTGAAATACATACGAATTTAGTGTGCACCAGTATTTGTCCAAACTGAAAAATTCGGATACTAAATCGAGGCATGAAACGGTTTTTAAAAAGTGGGTAACATTCACATCTAAAATATATTAAAGATATGGGCATCGGCATGATTTGTTTTGTATAATCATTTGAAATTTAAAATTTGTTGAAATCTCAAAATTTTTCTGTTTTTATAGCTAAGGATTGAATATTTAAAACAAGGGGTCTCATAATATATAATTTATATAGTATATAGCACTATCATCAAAACCGTTTTTACGAGTATTTATTTATGGTTAAGCATCAAAATAAATATATTATATGTTAAGTTTAAGACTAATGGCCGTTGTCGCCGATGTCCTTTGATCAATAAAAAAAAAAAAAATATATTATATAGGTAGACAGTTTTTTTTTATTGGTATTTCAAATTAAAATTTTCAGGATATTATTTTATATAATATTTTTTTGATGATAAGTTATATGATCATCACTTATATTAAACGGAGTAATAATTGTTTTGAAATATTGAAAAATAGGTACATCTAAGTTTTCAGAATTCTAGTATTCTAGTCTCTAGACTATCTCCACTCAGATGGATTACTTTACGACGGATCCTCGTTCGCTATTCTCATCATTCGTGAATTCGTGATATACCTAGGACTGTTTCGTAAATAATTCACARGACAAAATGGTGTATGAAAGTAGAAGACACTACGAGAATTTAAAACTGGGATTCTAAAATTAAGCTTGTTAAGTATAATGAATAAGTTAATTTGATCATCAATTAGTTTTTTACGAAAATGATATAAGTTTGTTTAAACTCGCCTATTAGCCAGCGTGGTGAGGCCCAGGTGGCAAAATACCTACTGGAAGTACTGCCAGTACTGGTAAACAATCGATTGATAAACTGAAAGATTCACAATTCAGAAATTTGCGTTGGTATAGCTGTCACGCATGGTTGTTCGACACCAAATTATAGTTCCATATTCAAGTATACACCGAAAAAATGAACAAAAAATAACTTTTATGGAACTAGACGTGTTTGAACTCTATATAAATTCTTAGCAAGAACCTTTCAACCTTAGCATTTTCATAGCTTTATAAGTAATTTTGTCCAAGTGAGCATTACACTTAAGACAGCGATCAAACGTTATACCACTTATACCCAAATCATTTACGGACTCACCAGCAGATTCAATAAAAGAACCAGATATAGAATAGTTAAATTAATAGGACAACTACGAGAACGAGAGAATATCATAAAATTTCATTTAGAGACACGGAGATCTAATCCATGGATTTCAGTCCAAGTGACCAAAGAGTTAAGGACTCTCGGTCCTCTTGAAGAAAGATGCAATGCTGAG